GGACACTGTCTCAGCTGTAACTTCCACGCGGTTAGGTCCCAAGCGGGTAGGATATGATATTTTTTTTCGTGAGGGCGGCGTAGCCGCCCGAACCCAAGCATTACTGTCTATACACCTCACTGTTCACATGGGTTATTAATTTAATAAGTTATTCATTTAATGTTATTGATTTAATGGATAATATAAATATGGATAACATAAATAAATTTTATTTTAATTCAGTATGATGTCTTAGCATATACAGTTAAGCGTAGTATATGTGGTAATGACGTTGGTAATTATACAGTTTAGCCGCTCACCTCAAAAATCGATGATGCATGCGCATGTGATCACAGAGCATGCGCATATGACCACAGAGCATATTTCAGTCGCAACGTAACGTCGGTATGACAGATTTCCTAACCTGAAATCGTCAACTTTAACGCTTAATAACTCGGTTCGCGGGGCAGAGCGACGCTTATTTCTGCCAGATTCTTTCGTTTTAAGCAAAAACGCATCGAATGAGCCTATGTTCATCGATTTTTGATGTGAGCGGCTAAACTGTATAATTACTAAAAGTTTTGTTGATATATGACCAACAAAAAGTTTTTCGTTGTCCTAACCCAAATTTGGTTATGCTAACAAAATTTTTTGTTAGAATAACATAAAAGTTTTTGTTAGTCACATATTCTAACAAAAACTTTGTTGTCCTAATCAAAAATTTGGTTAGAATAACCAAATTTTGGTTAGGACAACGAAAAACTTTTTGTTGGTCATATATCAACAAAACTTTTTTCTGAGTAGAGAGAAAGATACATGATTAATGATCAATTAATTTTCATATAATTTTATTCAAAACTTACTTTTCTGACTCTTTCTCTTTGAGTTTTGAACACTTTAAATACTTTTTTTTTTATAATACTTTTTGTTGTGAACACTTTTTCGTTTGAAAGGTTATTTCATCAAAGGTTGTTCAAATTCGCATGTGACCACAGAGCATGTTTCAGTCGCTACGTAACGTCGGTATGACAGATTTTCTAACCTCCATAATCGACAACTTTAACGCTTAATATCTCGGTTCGCGGGGCAGAGCGACACTTTTACCTGTCAGATTCTTTCGTTTCATGCAAAAACGCGTCAAATGAGTATAATTTTATCAATTTTTGAGGTGAACACCGTAGATTGCACCTTTACCGAAAGGTTGGGTTACCGAAGGACCGGTAACTTCTGTTCATGTGTTTTATACCATGCTCATGTGAAGCGAAAACAATCAGCGATGTCATCTCAATTGCATGCAAAGCTGCCAACAGAGTAGCACGCAAGAAATCTATCAACGAAACCAGCAGCTAAACACGCACCGTGTGCCGTAGGCTTATAAGAGAATTAAGCGAAGAGCACAGACTCTTGCATAACGCATAACACATGAGGCATAAGAAATTGAACCAACCAGAGTTCTCTATTACATGGAAGGGAAAGAAACGGAGAACTTTGATTGGTACATATTCTTATGCATTACGTGTTATGCATTATGCAAGAGTCTGTGCTCCCCGCTTTATTCTGTGATTGTCAATACGTGAATCCGCTTACGCACGATCCGCTGCATGAGACATCACCCTAAAGGCTTGTGTCCACGGTGCTAGAAATCGGTCTGAGTTCTTGGACATAGTTCTCGTACAAAGTTCTGTTATCTCGGACGATTCTATTAACATAATTTTCTAACCTTCAAAAACATCTACTTTATAACAGAAGCGTTGTAAATTATTTATTCACATAAAAGCATTTGTGCAGCGTAATATTTCTTCATTTACAGAAAACAATCAGGTATAATAAAATATAAATTTCAAATATGACTGTTTTAGTGGATCATACTACATAATAATCATCGCCCGATACGGTCAAAGCTGAATCTTGGTGCCTAATAATATTTATATGTAAATTTACATTTATCAGTTCATGCTAAGGTAGTTCATGATTGCGTTTATATCCGAAAGTAACTGCACGCAGTTTAAAAATGAATTGATAAATGTAAATTTACATATAAATATTATTAGCCACCGAGATCTAGCTTTGACCGTATCGAGCAGTAATTAAAATATAAATATTTATTATTTCATTTTTTTAGATACGTTCGATTATAAACCTGCAAAATTATCTCTCAATGATAATAAAATTATGATGATATCCTCAAAAGTTAAAAAATGTATAGCAATCACATTGATTGCTGAAATTATAGAAAAAAAAGAGATACAAAAATGGAATGAAGAAAAAAGAAAACGACGACGTCGGTCTATTTGGACACGTAAATGGATACTTGAAAGAAATCGTTCATTGAGAGGAATAATCAATTTAGCACATATAGATTTAAGAATTGAAGATCAAGAATATTTCCAAAGATTCTTTAGAATGCGGATTGATTTATTCGATCAACTTGTAGAAATAGTAACACCTTATATACAACGTCAAGATACTAATATGAGACAATGTATATCATCTAAAGAACGGATATCACTCACTTTAAGGTTTCTAGCTACTGGTGAAAGTTACAGAAGTTTGGAATACTCAACAAGGATTCCAGCGTGTACGATTTCTCGAATAATACCTGAAACATGTCGTGTTATATATGAGCTCCTTCGAGAGAATTACTTAAAGGTAAATAGGATGTTAATAATTTTTACAGAAAAATATTACTGGCTGTGATAAATTGACCAGTAATATTTTTCGATAACGAAATAATATATTATGACAACATTAACTTGTTATACTTTGCCTATCATCTAATCAACAAGTAATTTATTTAATGTTTTTTATAGACACCAAATACAACTGTAGAATGGAAACAAATTGCAGATGATTATCAACGATTATGGAATGTTCCAAATTGTATTGGTTCCATGGATGGGCGGCATATAGAATTTAGAGCACCTTTACAGGATGGATCATTATACTATAATTACAAAGGCACTAACAGTATTGTTCTCTTAGCACTAGTAAACGCGCAATATCAATTCACATACGTGAATGTGGGAGTTAACGGTAGAGTAAGTGATGGAGGAGTTTTCCGTGATAGTGACTTTGCAAAACTGTTAAATAATGCACAAAATCCATTGAATGTGCCACAAGATAAGTCATTACCTGGCATGAACGAACCTATTCCATACGTTATATTAGCCGATGCTGCTTTCCCGTTACAAAATCATTTATTAAAACCATATCCTTCACGAAATTTATCTCATGACGAGCGGATATGTAATTATAGAATAAGCAGAGGTAGAAGAGTTGTCGAAAATGTATTTGGCATATTAGCAAATAAATTTCGAGTTCTTTTAACACAAATACATCTACCTGTTGGAACCGTCCAAAATATAACACTTGCATGTTGTGCGTTACATAACTATCTTATTAAAGAAAATGCTGCTTATTTATATACTGATATAGATAACGAAAATTTAGAACATACTACAAGGTCTGCTACATGGAGAAATAATACACAATTACGCAACTTAGAAATCACAAATATAAGACCAAATATGAATGCAATTCGTATTCGCGATGCGTTTAAAGAATACTTTAATACTGTCGGTAAGGTTGAATGGCAGGAATATATGATATAACCTTTCTAAATATAAAATTATATATTTATTTTATATTTGTAACACAATATTCTTTTGTAACATTGTAACTTTTGTAATAATTATATGGTAATAAATATTTATATATACATATATATATTATAATATTACCTCACAATTATTCTATATTTTATTTTTCAAGTATTTGTTATCGTTACATTAATAAAATAAAATAATCTCGCTTAATAAACATAAAATATATTGAACACAAAAGTAATATGCAAACACATGTAACATATAAATCTATCACTTATACAATATTTTCTTATATTTTATCTCATATTTTATTTTTGAGCAGGTACGTTTGTTACTATTACGTTACTAAAAAAAAGATAATAAAAAGATAATCTCTTTTTGAACATAAAATATATCGAAAACAAAAATAATATGCAAACATTTGCAAATATGTATATAAGCATAGAAAGGGAGCGTTCCGTTTGACCATGTCCTTGACCACAGCCACTCACAGAGACCGGTGCCTAAAGTTTTTCCACTGTACAAGCACTGTGAATGGCTTGTGGTAAATCGGGACGTGGTCAACAAAACCCTTATCACATAGAAACATAGGAACATAGGAACACTTATTAAATATTTTCATTATCTATTAATGCAATAATCTCTTTCTGTAAGTAGTTCAATGATTTTGGATCCTTAATTTTACGTAATTTACTTTCTACGTACAATATCCAGTATTTTAATTCATCTGCAGTATCGTCATTGTTTGATATAGTTTGGATAGCATTTGTTGCTGCTGTCCAAAATTCATCTTTTGATGAATTATTACTTAAAGTTTCAAATTTCCTTTTTCCACGTTTTGATGTTGCTCTTTGTGATCCGGTTGAACTAGTACTACACGATGATGGATTTGGCTGAAGATTTGGCTCAGTATTCTCTACATGAAATAAATAATAAAATCAAAATCAAAATATTGCATTAAAAAATTAAATCATTAGATAAAATATACTAAGTGATATAAAATATAATAAGAAAATACATATCAAAAAATAGCAATATATAATTTTGTCACCTTTATTAGAATCTTGTGCTTTTAAAATATTAGCAACCTCTATAAATTGAAGATCTTCGTTGTCACTTTCCTCTTCTGCAGTATTATGTTCTAAGCAGCTACTTTGTTGACTAGAAACCTATAAATTATTATAATTTCAACACTTATGTATTTACATACTTTATAATTGACAAATATTTTACTTAATCTTACTGTTATGGAAGACTCTCCTTTTCTTTGAGCAATGTGTGGATCGAGAAATTTCATATCTTCGAATAACCACCATGTGGGTTTATAAATATCATTAGTCGACATGCCACTTGATTTCGATGCTTTTATTTTGTTAACGTAATCTAAATACTGCGACCTTAAATTATTAATTTTTTTTTTAGCAGCTTCTATAGTTAAAGGCTGTTGTGTTATTTCTTGGTATTGCTGACATATTTGTCGATAAGCATTCTCTCTTTTGGTTCGATTGTGGTATTCAGCAGATTTTACAACATATAACAAAGGATGTTGTTCATATAATAACAACAGCGTTTTTATATTGTCTTTAGTATCCATATTCCTAAAAATTATCACATTTATGAATATATACTAATATATATATATATGTTAGTTAACCTTAATTTATAATTCAACGTAATGCATTTTCCATAGAACTTTTATGAACAAATGTTAATTAATAATTAAT